GGAGAGTGAGCTGTTCTAAATCCCAGCAGCAGGAGGAGGGAGGCAGCTGCAGGCCTGGCTTTGTCAGGAGCCTCAGTCAGAGGTAGGGAAAAACTGCTGCCTGTGAGAGTCATGGCGAAGCTGCTGGTTTACAAACGCAGGCATGCAGGCTTTTGCCGTGAAAAGCCAGCCTGGACCTTCAGGTAGACAGGGATTGAACATGGACTGAACGTGGGCACTATTTTCTCTCTGAACTCCAGCTAGACCAGCAGCAGCGGCGTTATGCCGTGCACAGGAGACCAGGCTCCTAGAGGTCACCCAGGCCACAGGAGCAGAGGCGAACTGCAGGGAGCAGGTCGCTCCCCTCGGAGCAGAGTCTTCTTGCTCCAGCATGGCTCTCAGGAACACCCCCTCGGCCGCGTGTGGAGAGCCTGAACACCTGGCAGCATTACCCTGTGTGGCGTTCACAGGCCCCGCTGCCCTCGGCCCCGCCAGCGCTGCTCAGCGCTGCTCAGAGGGCTGAGGACATGGTGACTACCACAGCTCCTGGCTGCTCTCCTATGTGCTGTGGAACCTGGAACCTGGAACCCTGTCACTGCGATTCTGAGGGGTCCGGTGCACAGAATCAGACACTGCTTCGGAAGCACAGCGAGCAGACAGAAACGGCTCTGTCACGCTGGCCCCAAGTTTAGACAATCTGAACCGCAGAGGACCCCCTACTTGCCTAAAACAATCATAATGCCCTGTGGGCCTGGTACCTTTCCGGGCGCATGCATTTTCTGCCTCATGAATCTGCAAAAGCTTTCTCCTGTGGCTGGGTTTTTCCATCTCTGTGGGCATGAACAACATTTCTGCTGAAAGTCTCTCGTGCTGTGGTAGGCTCAGCACTCTTGTTCTCCGAGACTGAGGGCCAGTTTTAGACAAGTAGGGACCCTCTGTGATTCAAAGGGTCAAACACAGGGCCAGTGTGACTGAGCCGTTTCTGTCTGCACGCTGTGCTTCCCCGAAAGTGTCTGACTCTGGAACTCCAAACTTCCCCAACAATTCTGCAGGCACACGTGTGTGCACACACACAGGGGTGGTGGCACTTAGCTGCTTCTCACACATGGTTTCTTAGCACTTTTTCTAATCACTGACTGTCAGGCTACTTACAAGTTCCTGACCTCCCTCTCACAGAGCTCTGTGGTTAAGTGTATGGCTTTCTTTCCCTGCTTCTGCAAGAAGGCTGGTGCACCTCCTGTTCCCCAGTGCACTACAGGCTGAGGCAGGGCCAAGCTCCCCCTCGTCAACACTGACAAACTTTACCTGTGGAAACAGATCGGTTAGCTCAGAAAAGCTGCAGATGCTAGTGACGCCAATGACGCCAATGACGCCAATGGAGAAGGAAGGAGGACGGGTCGCCACTAAACCTATGGTGGTAGGCTGCTGACTGCCTCACTTCTGGGCCAGCAGGTTCTGCTCACTGACAGGACAGTCAGGGCTTCTGAGAAACCAGCAGGCCCATTTTCATAGCTAATGCCTCACCCTTGTGTGAAAGTTCCAGTGAGCCATGCCAGAGGGCCAGCCTGCGGGCAGGGTGCCACACACTATGGTTCAATTAAACACGCTGCCCACAGCACTCACTCTCAGCAGCCGGACAGGGCAGTGCAGCAGGAAGCAAGGGGCCGGCATGAGAGTGTAAGCGAGTGTAAGCCCTCCTTCCAAGCTCCCAGGAGCTGGGAAACTCCTGAGCTGGGGAGAAAAGGACATCTGGCAGCCAGGAGACAGCCCTCTGTCTTCCTTCCCTTTACTTGAAAGGCTGAGCTGGCTAGCGTGGCCATCACATGAGGCCCCTGAAAGAACACTCTGTCTTCAAATGCATTGCCCTTTTTCCACAGAGGTAATATCCATGATTTTTTTTTTTTTGTTGAGACAGGGTTTCTCTGTATAGCCCTGGCTGTCCTGGACTTTGTAGACCAGGCTGGCCTTGAACTCACATAGATCCACCTGCCCCTGCCTCTGCCATGCCTACCTAATTCCCATGGTCTTTTTAGAAAAGGGCTCCCTGTAGTCTCACCTAGCCTTCAATTCTGGAGCTCACAGTAGTCCCCCTGCCTCAGTGTCCAGAGTACTGGGATTAGAGGCGTGAACAGCTTTGCTTGGCTCATGTGGTTTCAGCTCCAGAGCAGGCCCTGAACCAGGCCTTCTCTAGGTTAAGAAGGAACTCACAGGGCTTACCCGGACAAGACAATAGAGCTTCCCGAACTGCAGGCTCAGCACCAACCCACACACACCAGTGCGATCAGGGACGGAAATCAATGCTCTGAGTGTGAACAGCGAGACTAAAGAGTCAGAATACTCAAGACACTTCTGGAGGAACAGTGACATTGCAAAGACAATTCAACGACAAGGTGCCGGCACAGCGGGATCTGCACACTTAAAAGTCACCTCAAAATGGAACATGTCCTTAAGTACAGAACCTACCGCTGGAAAATGTCTAGAAGGAGGAACAGAAAAACCCACCGTGGGGCTGGAGATGGCTCAGCTGGAACATGCCTGCTGCGTGAGGCTGAGGTAGAGTCCTGAGCACCCACCAAGTGCGCTGTGTGCGGCTACAGCACCAGCTGGGGGAGGAGCACGGCCAGGGGCGCCCCAAAGGTTCGCTGGCAGCCAGCCTAGTTCAAACACAAGACAGGTCCTGCATGGTGGTGCAGGCTTTAGTCAGAGACAGGGATCTCTGTGTGCTCAAGGCCAACCTGATCTACACAGTGAGACCCTGTCTTAAAAGTAAGTAAATAAATTAGAAAACAACTGAGGAAGACACTTGACAGCAAACTCCAGACTTTGCAACCAACCCACACACACATGGACATGCAAGACAGGTACCCCCCACCCATCCATACACACACACACACACACACACACACACACACACACACACACCCCATACCCATCCATATACACACACCCCCCCACATACTCCATCCGTACACATCCACACACACACATACATCCATACCCACATACACCCACACACCCCATCCATACACATACACACACACACACACACATACACACACCCCATACCCATCGAAATACACACATACACCCCCCCAACACCCCCCATCCACACACACCCACCCACATACCCCATCCATACACCCCATCCACACACACACACTACACACACATACACAGCACGCACCCATTCACAAAATACCCCAAATACCCATACACACCCATACAAGCCCCATGCCCCCCCCACATACCAAAAAAAACATGGCTTATGACATGATGACAAATTGACATAAGGAAAAATTGAACTTCTCCAAAATTTAAGATCTCAAAAGCTACTGTAAAGATGGCCATAAATTAAGAGAAAAGCACATTCAACAAAAAAAGTTGTCAGCACAGGTCTAACTAGAACTTGCAAGGTTGAGGCAGGGGAACCACTGAGAGTCCAAGGCCAACTTGGGCTATAACAGTAAGATCCTGTCTCAAGATCTTAGAAACAAAAACAAAATGTTCAAAACAATAAAAAACACACTAATTTTAACAGGCCGGGTGTGGTGGCCCACATATGTAATCACAGTGCTCCTGCTGAGACAGGAGGCCTGCCATGAGTTTGAGGTCAGCCTGGGCTACACCTTGTCTCAAAAAGACAAAGAAGAACTTGGGTCAAAAGCACACCTAATCTCACAGCTCAGAAACGGAGAGAGACGCCCTCTTTTGGAATGAGCAGCAGCGTGTGGCAGACGCTCGGCCGGGAAAGGCACAGCTCTGCTAGGATGGCGGAGGCCCAGAGGCCCGGGGGGCCAGCACCCTCCCTGCACGGGGCCCGGGATGCTGCGGCACTCGGCACAGTGGCTGAGCGGCCGAGAAGAGCGCTCTGCCGAGACCCAGAACCTTTGTCCTAAGTGGATGTGTTTCCCCGGTGAACGAGGACCTGTGTGTCTACACGGAAAGCTGTACGGAAACATACAGCAGTTTTACCTGCAACTGTCAGAAACCGCAACTGACTGACCATCCCGGGAGGGGAACGGACAGACCTCGGCACACCTCTATATAGGAGCAACGGCAGACAATGCAGCACCGACGGCTCTCAAACGCCCTGGGCAAAGCCGGAGGTGCACACTGAAGCACCCCACTCACAGAGCATTCTGGGGAAGGCAGTCACTGCGCAGACCTCAGAGGCACTGTCGCCAGGGCAGCCGCAAGGGGACACAGAGGGATGGAGGAAACTGCGCGGTGCTCAGTCAGCTCCCCGTTTTGGTCACTGTGGGCAGTTACCTGGTCCTTCTGCAGAAGCTCAGCCTGTATGACACCGGCGGACTTTACTGCGTTGAACTCTAGTAACCTCTAGGTCTCCAAATGGAAACCACACGACTCAAAATAACCACTGAGAATATGTGCAAAACCCTCCTCTGTGCCCAGGGGAGACCTCTGAGCAGGGCAGGCGGCGGCGGCGGCATATGTGGCCGAGGTAAGAGAGCGGACTTGAAGAAAGAGCACCTTTCCGAGCACTTGGGGACTGCGAGCTGACGGAAGACAGGACACCAGGCGTGCACGGTGGAGGGACTCGTGGCCCGTGGGGATCTAGGGCGGGTGAGGCCCCTCGGACACGTGGCCCACACTCAGCTTGCTGCCCGCGCTGCCTCCGCAGGGCTGGAATACATCCGGAAGGATGCTGCCCATACAACACACGCTGGCCCAGTGACCACCTACTGCACTAAGGTCACTGTCGTGACCTGACAAAGAGCACATGGTCCCGAGGTCAGGACTCGAACAACCAAGTGTGTTAGGCCAGCGCAGCAGGCTCCAATCAGACTCCACGGCGCCCAGCCTCCACAGTGCGGCTTCCTGTCCCTCTCCCACAGCTGTCACCCGGGTCCCTAACCTGCCCTGCTGCACATGTGCAAGGCTTGTGCCCCATCCATCTAAGGCAAGAATGACCACAAGGCTCTCTTCCCCTGAGACCTGAGACCCCACCATGCCCCCGACCCACCATCCTATCCTGTGCTGTGGGAGTGAGGCAGGCATACCTTTAGTCCTTCCGTCCGTGCTCCCCAGCTTCTTGGTCTCTGCTGTAAGCAGCAGCTCGTATGGGTGCTCCTCCTCTTCGGGGGGTGCGCTGCTCTGAATCCTGGGTCTCACAGCCAGGCCCTACAAGACAGGAACACCCAGAACCCGTTGGGCACGGGCAGCATGCAACAAAGCTCTAGTCCCCACTATGTTGCACAAAGGAGGCAAGGGAAGGAGTCAGGCCCTGTGGGTTCACAGTCGCCTTTCTGGTTCTTCGCCTGCTCTGGCTCATCCCCCAGTGGGGATTCTGGATGCTTGATGCCCAGCGCAGCAAGGGTGGGAAATAGGACATGAAAGAGGTGGGCCATGCTGGGTGGGCGGTCCCTAGGCTCGCCACTCTTAACAAATCCACTCCTGAGTTGTAGCTTATGTGGCACCACAGGAAAGGGTTGTTACCCTGTGAGCCTGGCACCTCCTTAGTCACTGCCCAGTGCACTGCCCTCTGCCACACCCTTGCCATGCTGTGACAGCAGCTCAAACTCCCCTCACCAAAAGCTAATGAATGGATAGAACTGCTTCATTTGTGGCATTCCAAACTGTGCGCCAAATAAAACTCTTTTCTTTATAAAGTACCCAGATTCAGGTGTTTTGCCATAGCAAGAGAAAAACCTAAAATAATTCCTGTATATGAAATCTTCAGAGTCTGACCAACTAAACCATTCCCTCTGTTTTGTTTTTTTTTTTTTTTGCCCCATTTTTAATCCTTCAAAAAAGAGAAAAAAAGTCTAAGCCTCTCTTAACTTCCCTCCCCTTTCCTCCTTCTAGTGTTTTCTGTGGAGAACACTTTTCTAGTACCTGTTACTTAAGCTGCACTGTAACTTGTCCTCTTTCTCCATGCTGCTTCTCTGATATGCACATATCCTACCCAAAAGGCCAGTGTCCACCTCAACGGAAAACAAAATGCTCCTGCTGCTCAACACTTCACAGGTACTGAAAACAAACTGGCCTGTCCCCATCCTCCTTGCTCTGTTCCTGGCTAGCCTGAAACTTGCTGTGTAGACCAGGCTGGTCAAACTTGCAGATCCTCCTGTTTCTGCCTCCCAAGGGCTAGGATTAAAGGCGTGTGCCATGACAGTCAGCTTGTAACTATCTTCTTCAAGGCTCCCAGGAGCTGTGGGGATGGATCCCCCATAAAGCTAGCTTCCTACCACACGAGTAAGTAACTGCAGATTGCCACTAACAGTCTTGAGAATCAGCAGCTGGCAGGAGTTTCTGGGGGCAAACAGCAGCTCTGTCTACTGAGAAGGTCAAGCAGGGAAGTGCCTCCCACACAGGAACCACACCTACAGGGCTTCAGTTAGGCAGCGGCCAGCCATGGCACTGGAGCCAAGATGGTGGAAGCACAGGATCCTGGTTCTGATAACTCTAGTCATCTGCCCTGATGCCAACGTGTTTTAAAGGCAAGTTACAAATAATCACACGACAGCAATCAAGCCGGAGCCCAGAACTTGCAGGGCTGTTTGAGGTGATAGGTGCAGCCTGGGAGCGAAGCGTGGGTGCTGGCACCCACACAGAGCAGCGGGCCCCACTAGCAGAGCTCCTCTGAGCACAGACGCCTTTCCCTGCTCTCCGGGAAAGCACCGGAGTCCTCCTCTGTGGGGACAGCTCTCCCTCTGTGAGAGAGGACTGCGCTCCCAGTCTCAGGCTGTTTGTTAGCTAGGCTGCCACTCTGATGGCAGAACAATGGTCTCCCTCTAAAACTCTGCAGAGCACAGCGGGCACCCCCACGGCGCAAGCCATCTGGATGCTAAAGACTCCTTTATTCTGGGAGCCCTGGGCATCATTTATTCCAGGTCTGTTTTCATAGGAACACAATTAAGGGAACAAAGAGGGACCATTAAGCAGTTCACACCAAGTCAACTTAATACCACGGGTTTTACTAACAGGAATTTGTGCTCCGCAGGTTTGTGCTCTGCCCTGGTAATTTGATTCCCTCCCTGTTGGCCTCAGCAAGAGTTCTCACCCAGGCCCAGACATGCTCACCTGAAAGGGAACTGACAGCCCGGATACCTGCCTACAATCCAGGGCAGGACGGCAGACTTCCAGTGGCGAATGAGTCCATCAGGTAGGACAAATGTGAGCAGAGACCCATCACCCACTGCAGCTGGGACACCAGTCACAGCCAGAGTACCTGGTTCTGGCCCCATCACCTGTAAACTCAGGAAGGGCCAGGGACCTTGTCCTTGGCTACTCAATGTCTGCAGCAGAGCTATGGCTTGACAGATTCTAATCCAGACTGGCCTCATTTTCCCTCCATCCAAGCTGGACTGCCTTCCCTTTTCAGACACCTAGTAAGTGCTCCTCCTTGGATCTAGACAGTAATCTAGGGTGCTCATTTCCTCTTGTTCTGGACCCCACCAAGGGGATTAAAACCTTCACAGGCAGCAATACGCCATCCCTGCCCCCACAGAAGCAGCAGCCTGTGTCACAGAGACTGTGGCAACAACTGGTTTTCAGCAGAAGGGATTCTGCTTTTTACTGGCAACTCCTAAATCTTCTTCCCCTTCCTCAAAGCTGAAGGCGTGCAGCACTGCTTGGGAAGAGAAGAATCTCGAATAGCCATCGCCCAACTGTGGCTTCGAGAATTCAGCTGGGGTGTGGGCGGCTGGGCAGCTCCATGTCAGGGCATGGCTACTTCTATGGTAGCTGGCAGCCCATCATGAGGCTTTCCTGTGTGTGTGTGTGTGTGTGTGTGTGTGTGTGTGTGTGTGTGTGTGTGTGATGTCTCATGTCTGGCATCAGGATGGGATCATTACTTGAATAAGCTCTCCCACCGTCAAAGACTGGGTCACATGATTGACGAACACACAACCGTCAAGTTTGGCTTCCTCAGAACCAGAGAGGTGTTGGGCTTACCCTTCCCTGTACCACAAACAAGATAAAAATGCCCTAAAGCTTAATGACATCAGTGTCTCAGTATGAGGTTTAGTCTGAAAGCTTTGAGAGAGTTGGAAACAAAGACGGTGGGGTTGGAGGCCTCACTGCCCCTGCAGAAGACCAGAGCACAGGCCCCAGCACCCACCGCAGTGGCTCACATGCCTCTGTAACCTCTCAGGACACCAGGCACAGATGTGATGCCCAGACAGACAGACAGGCACATAATACACAGTTCTAAAACCCTTCTGGATCACTAAGAGAACCTTGATTCAGGCTGTTTCTCTGTGCTCATGCAGCCATTACAACAGCAAACAAAACAGGCAGGTTCAGAGCTCACATTCGCACGGCCTCCCCAGACCAACTATGCTGGTCAGCTGATCAGGACTCCAGGCCAGTAGAGAGCGTTGCCAAAAAGACCAGCCCCACAGAGAGCCCACCAGGCGAGACAGCCCTGGAAGCACACGGCGGGAGGAAAGAGCCCAGGCCCCGACCCACACTGTACCATAGTAAAACACTCTTTAAAATGGTAGATGGTTTCTAATAACCTTCTCTTCCCTCCCCACCTTTGGCATATGCCTCCTTTCATTTTTAATTTAATTCTTGATTATTTAATAAACTTGCAAATAAATAAATATCACACAACAAAATTATCCAGGCCCAAAGCCTCTATCTTTTTTAACTGTCACTTGTGACCTGGTTCATGGTCAGCTACAATCTTTTTTTTTTTCTTTTTAAGATTTATTCATTCATTTATTTATTATTTATACAGCATTCTGCCTACACGCAGGCCTGCACACCAGAAGAGGGCACCAGATCTCCCTCTAGATGGTTGGGAGCCACCATGTGGTTGCTGGGAATTGAACTTAGGACCTCTGGAAGAATAGCCAGCACTCTTAACTACTGAGCCCCCTCTCCAGCCCTCAGCTACAGCCTTTACAGGAAGCGGTGAAAGGGAGCACCGACACTGTGGTACTGCTCATGCAGTGGCAGGGTGAGGGTACGGGGTTCCTTGTGTCAACTCACGACACAGCTGTAAAAATGAAAGTCAGATTGTTCCATTGGGGAGGCCAGACTTAGCCTGCCGGGCTTACCGTGTGGCACGGCAGGAAGAGGAAGAAAAGCACCCACAGTCCAGCTCTGGCCTGACCACGCACGGGCACCTACAGTATACACTTACGTATATGCCTCACACTCACACACAAATGCAACAACCCTCTTTCCCGGAAGAAAAGAGGCTGGGGGTGACTCAGAGACAGAGCACTTGCTCGGCATGTACAAGGCTCGGGTTCAATCCCAGGACTGGAGAGATGGCGCAGCAGTTGAGAGAACTGGCTGCTCTTCCGGAGGACCCAGACTCAAATCCCAGCACCACACGGTGGCTCGCAGCCATCTCTAACTCCAGTCCCAGGGGCCCTGAGGCCCTCATCTGGCCTCCACAGGCACCAGGTAGGCGTGTGGGGCACATATATACACACTCACACAAAAAGAACCTTAGAAGAGAGGAAACAAAGCCTCCTTTAAGCAACACCCGCAAATGCCGTCTAACAAACACTAAGTCACTGCTGGGATAACCCCAACTCTACCTCAGAGGCGGTCAAGTACTTCTTATCTACTCGCTCCTCCTCCTCTTCATCAGGTGGTGGCTTTGCAGGAGGCGGCGGACGTTCCCTCTGCAGAAGAAAAATAAATATTCTACCGTCCTTCTTCTCCAAGGACTTGTCTTTTTGGTTTACCCTTATTTTAGTCCTTAGAAATAAAAAGAACTGTGTAAAGAATTCCCGGACACTAAAGTTAAGGTCAGTCCCTGAGCCGACAGGGAGCTCCCACACAGATACAATCCAATCAGCTGGGCCATGGTTTGTGATATCTGCAGCAAAGATCACCAACACCTCCTTCCGCAACCTGGCTTTGAGGAGAACAGCACAGAAGGCTCAGAACTGCCTCGCTGCTACGGGAACTCTGGGACACAAAACACAGAAAGCAAAAAGCCGTGGTTCAACTTTCAGTGTCCACTGAAAAGAAGAAACTCGAGATTAAAAGACCCAGCTCGTCTAAGCCAAGACTCCTGGCGAAGCAACAGGAAAAGCAGCCAAAGACGGAACGTGTGTCCTTACTCAGACTCCAGCGCTGTGCTAGCGATCGTCCTACTCATCAGGAAAAGTCCACACCATTCTCTTTAACAGTCAGTCAGGAGGCTGAGGTCACCCTCAACTCAAAACATCTCTTAGTGTTTTGGGGGATAGGGTCTCACTGTGTAGCCCTGGCTGTCCTGGAACTCATTGTGGGGATCAGGCTGGCCTCGAACTTGGAGATGTGCCTGCCTCTGCTTCTGGTGCTGGGATTATAGGTATGTGCCATCACTCCTAGCACATCTCCTGTTTTTAATCACCGCCTTCAATAACAGCAAATATACGGTTATAGGGATCCCTGTGTGTCACGCCTGCCGGTTTAGACAAGAGCATGAGCACGTCTCCCTAGGCCAGGGGCTGGCAAGCTTGTTCTTAAAGGACCAAAAGTAACCATACTGGGTGCCACACTCTGCTCTGCCACAGATAACAGGCAAATGGTACATGTGACTAGATGCTAAAAGAAACTTCATTCAAAAGCACAGCTTCCAGTCACAGGGCCACAGTCTGCCAACCCTACCCCACAGCAAGGAAGTCACTGATGAGGCACAAGTGACCCAAGAGTGGACAACTTTTGGGGAGCCATCGCACCCACACTTTCCCACTGTGCTCTGCAGTGCTGGAGTCCCTTGCCCAGGCTTGCAGGTCAGCTCTGGGATGCGGAAAGGTAGAGATTTCCCCGAGAAATTTGCAAAGACGGCTGTGACGGGTCTCGGCAGCCAGGACCTTTGTGTTCACCTGTGCTCCTCAGCAGCCTCCATCACCAAGGCCTTCCCAGGCGTCTAGAGGCAGATGGATCGCAACAGTGCTCTCACAGCAGGTTCGCGTGCTCAGGCCAGTGCTGTCTGGATTTCCCAGGGGTGGGCGCACTGTTTCCACCCTTCCTTGTTCTACACGTGCCGGAACAGGCCTGGTCAGTGCACCACGTACAAAGGGACAAGCACACATCCACCATGAAGCCAGCCCTGGGACCCCAGTGTGGCGGAAAGTAAACGGAACAATGGGAACGGCCCGTCCCAGAGGCAGCGAGACTGCTGAGACACCAGGGGAGACAAAGTGCCCGCAGACAGTCTGCTACGGTTGCAGGTCCTGGCCACACGAGCCAGTGTGGTCAGAAAGCAAGAACGGCTACAACGCAGGCACGTGTGCTCAGGCGGCGCGGCCTGAACTCCAGGATGCCCTGGCTTCTGCACAACCACTCATTCAGGACCGGTGGCTTTTAGTTAAGGCACTAGCGCCATCTATCGGGCGCCAGCTATGCCAATAGGGAAGACTTGCAACTGTACCAGGCTCTTCCACGGCTCATAGGCTGACGCCTGCTCTGCCGGGCTGCTGTAAACGAGGACCACAGAAGCCCACACAGTGCAACTGCGTCAGCGAAAACAGGGCAGAGCAGCACCACCACCAAGAAACACCCCAGAAGTTCTGGGCCTTGCCCAGGCCACAGTTAGAAAGGCCAAGGAGCACTCTGACCCCCGCCAGAACTAGGCAGGAAGGGAAGGTCGACAGAAACAAACAAACAATCTCCCCAAAACAAAAACCAAAGAAAACAACAATGTTCTTCCCCCCCCCCCCCCCCCCCCCACATAGCCCCAAATCTGTGTCAAGGTAGTTAGCGCTGGGATCCTGTCAGCAGCCAGGTTAGATTGTCAGGGCCTGAGAACTCTGACAGGTACTGACTCTGGGGCGGAAGGGGGAAGAAGGAGTCCTGGGGCCCATGAACAAGACAGAAGTAAGCAAGTTCTGGACAAAGCAGCAGCGAGGCAGGAGGGCGTATGAGGAGAAAAAGCGCCAATGAAGAACCAAGCAACCGACGGCACGGCTGATGAATGCACACGGCCTGATGAAGTCTTGCCATGCCTTCTCCCCAGGACGGGACCACCCTGTCCACATGGCTGGCAGGGCAGGCGGGACTGGGAACAGGCAGCAACTCCTGTCACTGGGCACTGCTGCTCTCCAGAGAGAAAACAAACCACACATAGCAAGATCCCAAAGGCCTGAGCAGCACCAAGGCTAATCCAGAACAAAAGACTCGCGCTGCCCTAAGGATTTGTGGGAATGGAGCTGCAAACTGGCTACCCGGAAGTTGGAAACACCAAACTTCTACCTCAGCATGATGTGTAGCTCTACCACACTGAGCAGGAGACAAGATAGACCTCACCCCAGCAGGTAGGCTCAGGCAGCAGGCTTCCTGCCAGTGCCCCACAGCCGCCACCACAGTTCCCAGGGGCTTAGGCGTGTGCCACATACAGGCCTCACTCCAGCAGTCCTTGTTCCCGTGGCCTCGGCCTCCTTGTTTGTGGAGTCTCGGTCAGATGATCGCCCACTGGCCGTGCTGTCCAAGGAATGGCAGGACACAGCATTGTATAGCGCCTCGTAGGGACCCTCCTCCTCAGCATGTGTGTCAAAGTCCACGAGCAGCTCGGTCACTGCTTTCTCCACATTCCCTGGAGGAGAGGGCAAGAGCAGCCGTAAGGAGGGCAGTCCTGGTTCCCCACACTCTGGCCGAACAAAGACTCCACTGCAAAATGACCCAGTGAGCACTAACTCGGGAAATGCTCGCTGAGGGACAGGAACTGATTTCTCTAATTCAATACAGAGGAGCGAAGCTTAGTGGCAGAAGTCAAGCTGAGTGTGCACAGAGCCCTGAGTCCAACTCTCTGCAAAAGGAAACTACTTCACATATGTAAGGGATTCTTCCCATGTTCTCTTTTTAAGCTCCCCGTATCTATCTCGATGCCGTGTGAACACAACCTTAACCTGAAAATGTAGCCATGTGGTGTGAGTGAGAATTAAAAGTAATGCTTTAAATTAGTTTTCTTTTTTCTTAAAGCACAGACTCACTATGGAACCCTGGCTGTCCTGTAACTCACTATATTAGTCAAGGCTGACCTTGAACTCACAGAGATCTGGCTGCCTCTGCTTCCCAAGTGCTGGGATTATAGGCGTGTGCCACGTGCAGCCTCCACTTTGTTTTTGAGACAGGGTTTCCTTCTGAAACTGGAGTCCACGTAAAAGGCTCTAACAAAAGTCCCAAATCCTGAGCCAAGGTGCTCTGACTTATCTGCTGTCTCCTCAGCACTGGGACCCAAGCCTGACTGCAGTCACTGTTACAGATGGCGTCCCTGAGTGGCTTGTAGCAGGGTGCGCTCCTTGAGAGCTAAGAGCTGAGTGAATGATCAATCCCACTGCTGGCAGATTCCAAGGTCAAGGACAGAGAGAGAGAGAGAGAGAGAGAGAGAGAGAGAGAGTGTGTGTGTGTGTGTGTGTGTGTGTGTGTAGGGGGGTGAGCCTGGGGGGCCGCCCAGGAACCCAGTGCCGACAGGCCAGGAGCTCGAGGCCCTCCCTCTTCCGTTCTGTTGCAACCTCCCCCCCCCTTCATGTTGCTTTACTGTTTATCACCACCCACACTGGGGGGCGCTGCCAATTAGGGTTTCTCTGTGTGTCATGTACAGTACCACACCCTTCTCAGTAAACTGAGAGGATCCCGACAGGGGTGCACACCCACCGCCGGACCACCTTCACAGCCTCGGCTTATTGACGTCATTGCCATGTGCACACCTAGCCAGCAGACCCTCATTAGACAGCCACATTGGACCAACTGTCCCCGAAGCACTGTCTGTGTGCTGGAGTAGGAAGCAACAGCAAACCCAGATCTCACTGCTGCCGAGATGACCCCGTCAGCACGCATCCCCGCAGAAGCAGAGACAGAAACAAAGCCGTGGGGTTGGAGAAACGGTTCAGAGACTAGGAGAACTCGCCGTTCTTGTAAAGGACCAAGGCCCAGTTCCTCGCACCCACGTGGCAGCTCACAACCAACGGTAGACCCCAGCCCCTCCTGACCTCCGTGCGTGCATGCACGCACTACACGCGATCACACCAGGGCGCACACACACTTCTGAATGCAGTGCACATGCGCACACCCGGGCATACATATAAAGTATATAGATTGTTTTGTCTCTCTCCCCTCCCGCCCCCAAAAAAGACAGGGTCTTACTGTGCAGCCCTGGCTAGCCTGAAACCAGCTATGCAGACCAGGCCTTGAGCTCACAGAGCTGCCTGCTTCTGTCTTTCAAGTGCTGGAATTTAAGGCACATGCCTGGCTTAACTAAAAAAATAAAACATAAAAGAATGAAAAATGAAGGGGGGGAAAGAAAGGCAGACAATCGGCACAGCAGAGCCGCCCTGTGCCCGCTAACCTCTCATGCAGCGGAGACAGCGCCGCTGTGGATGTGCTGACAGCTCTGCAGTTATCGTCTGGATTAAGAACTTTCTATTTTGCTCAAGAATGACCAGCTCAGCACTCGGGAGACAGGGCCAGGCAAATCTCCGTGAGTTCGAGGCCAGCCTGGTCTACAGAGTGAGTCCCAGACAGCCAGGACTACAGAGAAAAACCCTGTCTCGAAAAACCAGAAACCAGAAAAAAAAGAATGAGCCGCTCTTCTCACCCTGAGACTTCGGTGCTGGGGCGTCTGTGCCGGAGAGGAGAGGTGGCTGGGCTGTGGAGGTCTTGTCTACTTCTTTCACACTCCTTTTTCCGGTCATGTGATCTGTGAGCAAAGACGGTAAGAAAGAGGTGGCACCAAGCTCCGTGCATTGCAGGTTAACTGCACCTGGCCGCTGGACAGCGCGGTGACACATACCTTCTATGAGCGCGGCTATCTGCTGGCTCTTCTGAGAAGGCAGGTCCCGGACGGTGTCCAGGGCAGTCAGTCCACGGTTGTCCTTTATGTTCACATCGATTCCTAGAAGGGACGCCAGGCGGAAGGGAAGTGAGCATCCCCAGGCAGGCCCAGGAGGCAAGTTCAAGGACACCCACGGCCTTCAAGCCGTACAAGCATTCTCACTCACAGCTGTCAATAGCCCAGTGCTCCAGGACCTAGCTGCACACCTCTAACCACACACATACGTGAGCCTCAAACCCCGTCTGGCACATGGGATCAGCTGCCAACCTCACCTGCAGCCAGCAGGATTTGCACCACATCGGTCTTGCCAAACAAAGCAGCCTCATGCAAAGCACTGCCCATCTCCGTCTGGAAGGCAAACGAGAGCGCAGCAGCATGTCATGAGAACAGTTCTGTGTGTCACATGACAAGTGGGACATGGAGGAGGAGGGACGGCAAGTAAGCTACATGGAGCCCTCCCCTCGGAGGGTGGGGCTTCAATATTTCCTGTATTCCAACAAAGTCCACACAGCAAGACCTCCGAGTGCTATCGTAGGCCACGCCACAGGTGAATCTCCACTGCTTGTAGGCATGTTGACCAAACAAATTCGCCCAGGCGCCACCTTTCTTGGGGAGAAGGAATAAAAGCACCTGTGGCCCACGTGGGGAGCCAAGAGCAAGCGGAAGTACTGACTGTCGGAAGCTGCCATCAAAGAGCAGTGCACCTGGCAGGGAGGTCCTGGGAGCATGTACGGGAAGGGGCCCCCAACTACAGCCTTCAGGGTTTCAGGACTGTATCTCACACCCTGAAAAGAAGCAAGAAACACTGGACTCCCTAACGGCGCTCTTTTGCCTCTAAAATGTCACAACAGGACACGGTGACAAACGGAAGCACGAGAACGAGAGGTGACATGTGCTCAGCACACACGGCCCAGCAGCACTCTGCTTGTGCCTCTCCCAGCGACTAAGCCCCCGGTGCCAGCAGAGGTGTCCGCCCTGCTACCTGGTAGTTGCTGTCCATGCCGGCGTCCAGCAGGACCTGCACCACGGCCTTGTGGCCGTTCCTTGCTGCCAGGTGCAGGGGCGTGTGCTTCCTGGTGCTGCAGCTCAGGAGGTTGGGGTGCGCGCTCAGCAGCAGCTTCACCACCTCCAGCCGCCCGTACAGCGCTGCCAAGTCCAGGGGCGTTTCGAATTTGTTGTTGCGCATGGTGGGGTCCGTGAGCTCCTCCAAGAGAGCCTTCACCACCTCCGTGTGTCCGTACTGTGCCGCGCAGTGCAGGGCGGTCTCGTTGTCGTTGTTCTGAGGGTTAGCAAGCGCATCAGATCAGAAAGCTGTGGGTGGAAACTAACGCCGCCTGGAGAATGACCCATAAAACCACTGAAATTTAAATGAGAAGAATAGCAGCAATACTCGGGAACTCGTAGTCAGGATCCGGACACCACCCCCAACAATCGGCCCATTGCTCCCACTGGCCCCGCCTGCGCCCAGTCCCTGCGTGAGGCGGCTCCCTGAGCACCTGCAGACTCCACGTGCCTCCATCTCCGTACTTCCGGAGAAGGAGCTCGGGAGCCTGGCGTGTGTGGACCCCGTACCACTGCCATTGTCTCCTCTTAAACTTCAACTGGCTTCATGAGCATTTCTTTGCGCAGCCCCCCGGCTCTGATTCTGGGTTTGTTCACCATCCGCAGCTTTCCACACAAGCTTTTTAAAGAGGTTGTCATCTGGGTAGCTTCTTGCATGCAAAGCAATCAGCCAGGAGGGAGAGCGACAGAGCAGAGCACCGCACACCACTCTCAAGGTAGCAGCCAGCACCAGTTCCCCAGGAGGAAGGCACAGGCTCGGGCCTGAGGGAAATTCGGGACCCTATCCTGCCCCATGCCTACCCCAGAAGGGCACACGGGCGGCGCATGCAGCTTCTACTGCATAGGACAGTGGGCACACGGGGGAAGTCTTCTCATGGAAGAAAGGGACAGGCCCTGGGGATGCTTGGTGTGAGAGGTGCAAAATATTCCTCCGCAACGCTGCCCTCTATTCAACTCATAGGCTGAGGGCCTCCGATGCCAATTTTGTCTCAAGGACACAGAGGCTGCGGTAAAACAGAGAACTCTGAGCTTTCTCCACTGTCAGAAGTAGAATGTGAGTCATTTCAGTTATGTTCGTCACTGAGACGATGACATATAATTGAGGCAGACGATTTTCTACAAGCTCTCTTTTCGGAGAAACACTGGTGAGAGCGACGCTCTCACCACAGTCTCAGAGCCCTCAGTTTACCCAGGCAGCTCCTGCCACTTTGGGGAAGACGAGGCTTGAGAGCGCCAGTCCTAAGTCAATACTGTGCACCTTTCATTCGCCAAAAGTTAAAAATTCACTATGTCTACAGCTGTTTTAGTTCTGTTAGTGACATTAAAAGGAACAGATGAGGAGCGACCCGAACATGCATCCATTCCATCTGCTTTTGACCACTTTTTTTTTTTTTTTGGTGTTTTTTTTTTTCCCTCCAGCTACATAAACAGAGATGAGGAAGATCCAGAGCTGTAGGGCCCCAAGTGGCCTGAGGGACAGCAAAGACCAAAACCAGGACAGAAAACGTGGCGGCAGGGGACATGCAGGGCTAAACAGACACAAATAAACGGGGCGCAGAGCAAGGGACCAGAGAGGCGGCCCAGCCCGGTGAGAGCAGCCCGGGGCCGCAGCCCTTGGAGGCGACGCAATGGCCACAGAAGGACCCTGAGGTCTGGAGGAAGGGCGGGCTGTCTGGAAAGCAAAGCCCTGGTGCTCCCTATACCTTTCAGCACTGCCCGCCTCCTAGGGCCCAAAGGCCACTTCTCCTCCATGTGACAAACGAAGCTACTTCAACAGAGCTCACGGGAGCTTTCTGGGGAGTGCAACTCAAAGACATTAAGAAGAGGCTGAGTTCTCTACCTCAACTTCTGCACGACAGCCAGGACCAAGGAGCCAGCGCATTCTCACTTAAACTCCATCCGGTCATCTTGCTGACCGGGAAACAGACCATTATAGTCACGGTGCCTCCCAACATGCAGAATTATCTATCTGGGATTTTACAGAAAGTATGACTCAAGGACTGAAAAATCATAAAGCTCTAAAGACTGAACTATCCAGCGGGGGAGGGAGGGAGAAGGAAGACAGAGCTAGACAGAACATGCAGGAAATACGGCACAGGGGCAGAACACATGCTCAGCACACACGAGGCCCGGGCCTCCCTCCCTGGCGTAGCCCACCAAAGCAGTGACAGGAGAGTACAGAGAGTGCTGTCTTAGGTTTCTTTACTGGTTCTCACTGGCCTGTCAGCTTTTGCTAGAATGAAGACAGCTGTCTCAAAGTTGCACTGCTAGGCCCTAGCATATCCTGCCTGCTGTCAAACACCATCTAACCACACCTCACTGGCACAGTGCGGAAGTGTCGACGTGGCCAGACATGGGCTGGTGGTTAGCTTTGAGTGTGGTGCCCACCTCACCACGGCTGAGCACTGGCCACCACCACACGCTCTCCTTGTTTCCTTGTGGAGCTGACTGCTGTCCAGTTAGAGTCCTCTGATTCATCGACCCTCAGGAGGGGCAGCGATTCCACAGAGAGGTGCGCGTTCCCATCAGCAGCGGTGGGCATGCTTCCCTCTCACCCCTTCTGAACAACACTGCACTAACCCGCTTCCTGAGACCCCGACTGGGGGAAGGTCATGGGGTCCAAGCTGGCCTTGAACTTGATACTAAAGCCTCTCACAAATACTTCATCCCTGCTCATTAAGTTTTCCCTGCTGGAATATGTCTAAGAAAAACGGGATCTATTCTTCTCTGCAGATTCCATTGAACCTCGATTCATATATGTGATTCACAAACATACACCCTCATCAGTGAGCGGAGAAAATCATACAGAAATATTCCACAGTCGTCTTCTCTTGGAACCTGTCGGGAATATCCCATTACAGCCTGGCTCAGGTTGTCCCCTGTGGACAGAGGCCTGTGTTAAGGAGCCAGAGGTGTAGCTCTCTGCAACTGTGCTGCGGGTTCTAGAAAACATAACCAGGAAGAACAGCAAGAACCTTGTATACAAAATTAGGAAGGTGGAAAGGAAAAAACTAACCCGTGATGGTAAACAAGAGTTCGGCTTCCTCCTGCAGTGCAGAACTTGGACCAAAGTGCACAGAAATCATGCCAGTCAAAGACAAGAAACTACAGGTAGCAGCCCAGGAGCAGGTGCTGGGCAGTAATTAAGGCCATTTGTTATTAGGAAAACATGAAAACAGAAATGACTGTCTGCATGGGTAGCAGAGCAAGGCTCCTCCAGGTAGGAAGCGGGCTCAGACCAGTACATCTCAAGCAGGCTCATTTCGGAACTAAGCAGAGCTTAAAAACAACCAGTAATTAATCGGCTCAACTTCAGATTTGGCCAAGAAGGCTGTTAAAGAGTGTGAAGTGCACATGAGACTATTATTTCAAATTCTGCTGACATGGCAGGACACACGTAAGAAAGATCCCAGCGTTCAGGAGGGAGGAGGATGGAGGAGCGTGATGTCAAGGCCAGCCTGGACTCCACAGCCAGAACCTGTCTCCAAAGGGCTGGGGCACCTGCACTCCGAGCACTTGCCGAGCATCCCCAAGACCCCTGTGTCTTCAGTCCCTGTCATCCTGAGGAAGAACCCCCCCTGCATTCACTATCGTCAGCACGGAGAAAGCCTGTGACCTGATGACACACTTAGCAGTATGTCACTTGTGTGCATTCCTGCCCCACACATGTAACCTGTTTCATCATGGCTGGTGTGTGGTGTGAATGACAAGTGGGAGGGAGAGGAGGAGGGGGAAGGATGCACGGCCACATGTATTAGGAAACAGGCGCCACCAATTTCCAATTCTGAGTTTAGTGACTGTATCACGGGCTCCTTACCGTTTTCAGACAAGGTCCCGCCATGCTCCCTGGCTGGTCTGTTACTCCCCATGGAGCCCAGGCTAGCCTCGGACTTACAGGAGGGCTTCCGGCTGTGCCTGAGCGATTACAGGTGTGTCTCACAACGTTCGGGGGAAAAGCTGACTGATACTAAATCTAAGTTTTTGGAGCCAAGACATCAGCAGCTTAATCCTAAACACATCACAAAGCCATGGCCACAGCTGCAGCACGGGGGAGGGGTGGGAGAGAAGTAAAGGGCAGAACCGTCCCAGCTCGGCCACACTGTGCACTGCAGCCCACAGTCTTGGCCATACTAGCTGAGATTCTGTCCAGTGGAAAGGTCTTCACTGGCTTCTGGTGCTCCTGATCCGCCCTGGGATGGGAACTGTCAGAAAAACTGGTCTACTCCAAAATGAGCTTGACCATGCTGCCCGCTTTGTGACAGTCAGACTGAGGGAAGCTGTTCTAGGGGGCATGGTTCCCACGGCTCAGCCATGGCTGCCTTTTATTCTTCCTGACTCATGATGACTGGCTGAGTGCTGAAGGGGACCAGGAGAGCCTGGGAAATCCAAATGCTCCAGAAATGGTGCCTGAGACTTCTAAGTTTGTATTGAGTCAGACATTATTTAGCATTCACAGATGCTTTAGCAAAGCAACTCCTAGCTATGAGGCAGGCTAGCCAGACCCCACTCGCTGGGATAAACTGAGAGAGGCTGCCTCCAGAGGCCTGCATCCTCAGCACACACAACGAAGCTCGGCCTCAGTGCTGTGTGCACGATAAGGGAGGCGAGCCCAGGGCAGCACTTCCGGGCATGAGTGTTCAGCCTTGCACTTTTTCTTTTCTGTCCTCACTTTCAGGAACTGGAGGCCCAGCCTTTGATGCAAGCTTTAGAAGCCAATCTGACCACAAGTGGACACAGTCACCTCAGGCCCCTCCTCCACAAACCAATGCTGGAGCACACAGAGCACTGTTTGGCTACACGCCCACTAGCCACTAGCGTGGAAACTGTGGACACGTGTTACACAGTATCTTTTCAGAACTGCACAGGTATTTCCGAACCTCTCACATACTGTTAGCTACCGGACACTTGTCCTTTACGAGCATGACTCCAAAAGAACCAGAAAGAACGGTAGTAACCCCCACATTATAAGAGGAAAGCAAGGCCCAGAGGAAACTTACTACCTACTTGAGTCGGCAGCCCGGAACCCCGCCAGGCCTGGCTGGCAGGCCTCCGATCTAGCCCTCTGCTGCCCCAGATCACGCTTCTCGACCAGCAAAAGCCCAATAGCTTCGGGCTTCTCCAAGGCCCCCGACGTCAGCCCGGGAGTCGCAGAGAGCGACGCTGTCCCTGCCTGCCACGCGTAAACACAGGAAGCAGCGTGCCCCCTTTCCCAGGATGGCTGCATTCTGAGCAAGCACGAAGTACCAAGCAGGACAATCAGTGTGCGGACCAGAAAACAGCTTCGAGGGGTGGAACACACACAGCCCAGCTGGCAGAGTGCCTGCCACGCAAACACAAGGTGCAAGCTTCGAGCTCCAGCAGCGCGTGAAAGCAAGACGCGGCGGTGGGCACTCCAGCACCAGGGCGGCCAATCCTGGAGGCTCACTGCCGGCCAGTCTAGCCAGGCAGCAAGCTCCAGAATCAGAGAAAGACCCTGTCTCAAAACTCAGGTAGAGAAGGATTGAGGAAGACATTCAGCACTGACCTCCGGGGCACGCATGCACGTACACACGAGTGAGAAAGCAGAGAGAGCCAGAGAGAAGGGAGAGACAGAGACAGAGAGAAAAAGGCATGTACATGCACACCAGCCCAAACTCCATCTAAGTAAAACTCAGGGACATAGATTCAGCAAGTGAGGGTGACAGGGAGCCACACCCACCATCCACTAAGCTTCGCCTCTTTGTGGAGGAGCCTTCTGATGAGACAGGGGCTGGCCAAGAAGGTCTAGCAAACCACCGCTGCTCCAGCTCCTGGTTCAGAGCCCTTCAGGGTCAGCAGTGACAAAGCAGAAAGAGAGGTGATGCCGGGGACTGGACTGAGCTATGAAGCACATGCAAAGAGGCACACACCCAGGAAGAGGGCGGCAGCCAACAGCAGCCAACAGCAGCTTTTGAAAGAATGAAGTGCGGTCACCTACGTCCTGTCCCCCACACCACCACGTGGCTATGGAAACCTGAAAGAAAGTCAGATTCTACTTCAAAAGAAACACGGAAAGCAGATGAAAAGTAAAAGGCTTAAATTTCAAGAAGTACACCTAATCATGTTCTGTGCTTATTGAAAGCAAGCCGACTTGCTTGACAGGCCTCTTTGTGGAACCCCATGACTTTACAGGTCGCAAGCACACAGCAGGCTTACGGTGTGGTTCTGGTTCCTACTGCTGCTGCTTCAAACATTCCCAACTTTCCAGGACTAGACGGTTTGAAAACTAAAGCCTCGGCCCACTGTGCTGTGATTTCCCTAGACAAGCCAAAAGCAGATGGGCTGAAGCAGGCAGCTTGAGGGGGGTGAAGAGGAGCCTGGGTAGAAGGATGGAGGGCTACAGCAGAGGGGCAGCATGGGAAACACAGGACGAGGGATCCTGGCCGTGACGTACACACCTTGGCATTGATATAAGGGTCAAAGGGGCCGTACTTTTTGAGGTCTTTGATCTCAAGAGCATTCTACAAAAAGGAGAGGAAAAGACAATATGATGATAATGGATGGAATATATCAAAGCCATATGTAGCCCTGGGGCCCAGAACTGAGCTCAGGTAGCTGGACGGAGTTACAGAGCGGGCAGCTCCGGGGAAGCTCATCTTGCCCACCTAGCCACTGAAGCACATTAGTAGCTTCAAGTCAGTGTAGTGCTTGTAGCTGCCTGGACCCATCATGTTCTTCCAGCTGCTCCAGAGAGCAACACGCAAGCACTGGGCTGGCATCACCTATCCTGGCCTCCTGCAGGCAGGAGGCAGCGTGAGCATAATAGGCTAGCACACTCAAGTGCCTCCAAATCCCAAGCAGCTGTGTTTCAAGGCAAATGTGGGTGAGGACGGCATTAGAAATGATTGCTGAAAACTGTTGAAGTGAGAAGGACTTTTGGGTGGCCAGCTCTTCAGCGCTGAAGAGTGTTAGTTATGAGCAAGCTTCTCCACACACTTCTTTCAGAGAGGAGAGACTGTCGTTTCAGCAAGGAGAGCTGCACTTGGGTCTAACCAGGCAAGTCTAGGACCCTGTCGCCCCATGTCCTACACAGGCCTCCTCCCAGATGGTCTGAGAACCTGCTGCTCACCTACCTGGAAGGCCGCCCGGGAGGAAGTGGCAGGCTGATGGGCCACTACCTATACCCAGGCTCCAAATGGAGGCACCTGGAACCCTGATGCGTGGCTTTGTGGTATCCTGAGGTCTGAGGAGGAACCCGCTCTACTCTCCAGAGGGGAACAAGCTCCTGCAGCTGGGCGTGAGCAGGACAGCCCTTTCCTCAAGGAGCAGCAGAGTGTAACCAAGGGGGCAAGACCCAGCCCATGGCTCTGCATGCTGGGACCCAAGCCACAGAGACCTAAGCCTCTCTCCAGAGAAGCAAGAAGTTAGCCTACGAGGCTCTGTCAGGGTTCTGCTGATTCTCACCTCTCTCTTTTTCCTTTTCAGAACAGACCTCACGTTTAGTCTAGGTTTACCTGAACTAAACCTTCTGCCTCAGTCTCTGAGTGCGGGAATGCAGGCTGTATACCACCAGAACTGGCTTGGGTGATTTTTCTTCCTTTTTTTTTTCTTTAACTCTCCCCTCCCCCAAGGCAGGGTCTTATGTAGCCCAGGCTGGCTTCCAACTATATAGTCAAAGATGACCCAGAAACTCCTGCTTCTTCGGTCTCCACTTCCCAAGTGCTGCGGTTACAGGCATGTGTCACCAAACCCAGCTGAGCATTTTTCTTCAAATGCTAGCTTTCTATTTTCTAATAACGGTGTGGTTTTTCAAAGTTTAGCTCAAAGTAGCCTTGGAAGACAGCATGGCAATGATCTTCACCCCCCTGGATCACCTCTGACCTGCATCCATATTTTTCCCTAGCACTAGCACAAACGCTTTTACTTCTGCACATCCTGATGTGTGTAGAATAACAAGCGAGCCTGCACAGCGCTAACGCTGGAAACCCTGCACTGCATGCGGATGGCATAAGCACAAATTAGAATTATGTTATCTCTGCTTAGTTTGAAACTAAATCTACATCATTTCAAAAGATTTGCATCAACTTTCATACTGTGAGTCTGTGGATGTGATTTTGCATGTGTGAAATTCTAATGCAAATCTGCATGAGTCAACTGCACATAAAATGCATCCTACAGGTTGGGTGAGGTGGCGAATGCCTTTTGTCCCAGCACTTAGGAGGCAGAGGCAGACAGATCTCTTAGTTCGAGGCCACCCTGGTCTGCTCTACAGGGTGAGTTTCCAGAACAGCCAGAGCTACACAGAGAAACTCTGTCTCAATGCACCCTCCAGAACACGCTCTCCCCACTAGTCCTGACAGGGGGTCATGTCAGGGAAGAGGGACTGTGCCCTGAGGTATGCCCTGGGCTGCATGAGGCACAGTCTGGCAGCAGCTGAGGTAGGAAGTCAGCCTCTCCCGACCTGTTCGTTGACTCTGGTGTGCGAGGGCCCCTGGCGGATGAGCAGGCGCACTATCTGGGCGTCTCCCTTCCACGCGGCCAAGTGCAGTGGGTAGCAGCCTTTCGAGTCAGCAACATTGGTCAGCGCATCGTTCCTCAGAAGAACCTCAACCACATCCCTAGAAAGCAAAACCATCCATGAGCTTACAGGGCTCTGACATCAGCGAGCCTCCTCTTCTGAGCTCGCTGCCAGGCTCTCTTCAACGCCCACGGCTACTGATGTGACTGCTAGGTGGCTGACTCTATGTAAAGCCTGACTCTCCTTCCCTGGGCCTGACCTGGGAACCCATCATGCCCTGCTACTTTGAAAACGTCTAGACTCCTTGCCTCAGTGTACATTATTCCCTGGTCTGTGATCATGAAAGAGCGTTTGGAGAAGAACTGACGTAAGTGCAGTTAAATAAGACAACTGATGTCCCTCACTGCCTTGTGGATATGGTGCTGAAAGAGGACGGAGCAGAATCCATGTCCCTGACATAAGTCAGACACCCAGAGCGTCATCTCATAGCTCCGAAAGGAAGCCTCTCTGGCTTTCTTCTTGGTGACACTGCTAATTAAGCAGATGCAAGTGTGTAATTATCCCTAGGCACACAAGGCCAAAAAAACCAAAACCCAAACCAAACCAAACCAAACCAAACCAAACCAAACCAAACCAAACCCCTTCCTGTGAACACAAACAGGTCCAGGAGAGGCTAACACACTGCCGCATTTGAGTTGAGGATTCACATTATCTCAGATCTTCCCAACTCCTGAGAGGGTCTCAATGTTTCTTTTCTTCCATTGTTGGTGCAGCATGTGCCATGAAGCACAGACGGAAGCTAGAAGACAACTTGGAAGCCATTGCTCTACATCCACCGTGTCAGTCTGAGGGAGCAAACTCAGATTGTCAGGCAGGCAGCAAGTACTCTATCCTCCGTACCACCATCCTGGCCCTGGATTTTACCTTTAAAGGTATTTTAGAAAAGACACGGGCTTCACATTCAACTTGAGAAAAGCTCAGTCCTGGGGCTAACAATCATGGCGCATCAGGGCACAATGGAGCCCATGAAGCTGCTCACACACTGCTACAAGTGACAGAGGCCTGCAAGGTTCAGTGGGCCGTTCCTTGCTTAAAAAAGAATAAAATGAGGGGCTGATCAAATGGGTTAATGGCAGAGCACGAGATGAGCACCAGAGAAGAGAAAGGGCAGGGCAGTGCCAGTGAGCCTGTGGGTCCTGGTCTCCAGAAGCACACCCACACAGCTCTCCTGCCCTGGACTCTGCTTCCAGCTCCCAACGCCACCTTTTTGGTCCCCCTTTCCTGCTCTTCCACACCTGGGCAAACCCACTCCACACCCCGTGATGGCGGTGGAGCCCTCAGTTGTCAGTCCACGGTGGTTATGCTCAGCAGGGGACTCGGCGCCCCAGAAGCCATTGTGCGCAGGAAACGTTCCACATGTATTTCCCACTCAAGTGCGAAGGACCTCCTCACACTCGGGGGCTGAGGGCCACGCACACGCTTTCCCTCCCTATCAGAAATGGCTCCCAGTGTTCACGAGGCTGATCTTCTGAGGAACAGGGACAGCACGCAGGACAACGGCCCGGACAGGAGGCCAGCCTCTCGGTCTACTGTGCACATGGGGATGGACAGCTGTGGGGTCCCAGGCTCTTCAGGACCTGCCTGTCCCGAGTGTGGTCTGCACAGTCACCGTCACTGTGTGATGCTTGGACATTCCAGACAGGCAAAGACCTGTCTGGAGAAAAGGTGAAATCCACCTGTCTAGAGCTTTCTCTGCAGGTAGGGGTAAACAAGGAACATCATTCACTGCAGAGAAACTTGGTATCCTCGTGGACTGTGTGAGTCTGCTTCTCTCTGTCCTCAGCACCCTGTCTAGCCAGCTTCATAGGAGGCGGAGGGACAGCGGGCCCCGCAGGGTGGGTGAGGGGGTGCCCGGTACTCACCTGTGGCCATTCAAAGCAGCGTGGTGGAGTGGAGTGTAGCCGGTACTATCCACGCAGTTCACGTTCGGCCCTCTCCACATGCTGCCGGGAAGAGACAGACGTTTCAAAGCCACAGCACAAACAGAGGCAGCCAATGGTGATGTGGATGGCAGCAGGCGCACAGCACGTGGAGTGCTCTACTGAGCAAGGAGCCTAACGTGAGGACCACAGTGTCGCGCTGAGGGCCAGCTCCACTTTCGCTGGCTCACCTGGGCTGCAGCACTTACTCGGTTGGGAACTTAGGCCTCTGAGTGCTCCCAACTAACAGAGACGTCACCGAAACAGCACAAAACCAAACCGCCCCGCCAGACATAGGTGCTGAGCACAGCCCTGTTCTGGTGAGTGAAGCCAGGAGCTACTTTAGTACCGATCACAGACCAAGGCAGCACCTGACAGTGTCAAAATGCCCCAGGCCACAAGCTGAGTCACAAATCAGACCGTGTCCCCTTCCTTCAGAAAGACAGTTGGCTGAGGAGAACAGTGGTTTCCACATTCACTGCTCAACTACTGTGAGAAGAAAGAAACAGGCCTAAAAATCACCTCTACTGAGCACACACACCCTTTCCTTAGCATTACAACTCACTATGGTCTAAAATCTGTTTGCATAAGGCCAGGCAGAGTGACACATACTTTTGATCCCAGCACTCTGGGGGAAGAGGTAGTTCTCTGAGTTCAAGGCCAGGCTGGTCTAACTAGTGAGTTCCAGGACAGCCAGACCTACATGGAGAGACCCTGTCTCAAATGTCAAACAAAACAAAAGCCTTGTTTGCGTAGCAGTCGCACATATTAAGTACAAGCAATCCAGAGGGAGCTATAAACCCGTGGAGAATGTATGGTGACATCCAGTAGAGACACCATTTTACATTCCTGGAGCCAGTCTCCTGTGGACACTGATAAACCACTCCATCTTACCTGTGGATGTCGGCTGACAGAATTTACACATAGCCTGAGGATCTGATCTCCAGGAAAGACACAAGAGGGAAACGACGCCACCTCACTCAGCTCTCAAAGGCCTAGTTCCACCTTCACTGTCAAACATCAAGCAGCAGAGGCTGCCTTGCTTGTCTCTGATTCTGCCAGTACTGATGCTCGGAGGCACATACCCCTCTCTAACATTTAATTTTTTATGTTTTGGAGGTCAAGGCCAGAGTCTCATTCAAGCTGCAAGGCAATCATTCTGTCACTGAGCTATAACCTGCCCTTTCCTTTTTAAAGTCTTAGCAGGAATAGTTGTTTAATTAAAATGTACTTTCTGCATCTATAAAAATAACCAGCTTTTATGTCTAATGACCTAAGCACATGGCTGCTACAGCTTCTATATTAAGCTTCTCTTGTTCTTGGAGTGACATTATCTGTTGCCACCTGTGAGAGCCTGGCTGGTACATACTGTGTGGCTGTGTCTACTCAGAACACAATACTCAATTTTTCACGTCCATGTTTGGGAGGCCAGGCCAGGGGTTCTGCCTTTTTAGTGCCACGGGAACTGGACGGTGTCAGTGCTCAATTTAGGTCAGAAATCAGCTGGGCTGCTGTCTGCTCATTATTATTTAAAAAAATCATTATTCTCATTGGTTTAGATTTGTTTTTATGTCTACGGGTGTTCTGCCTGCATGTATGTCTATGACCACCCATGTGTGTGGTGCCTGCGAAGTTCAGAAGAGGGTATTGGGTTCCTGAGACTGGATGGTTTCAGGGACGGTTGTGAGCCACCATGTGTGTCTGGGAACTGAACACAGGTCCTCTGCAAGAGCAACAGCTGTTCTTAACCACCGAGCTTCGCTCCACCGTATTCGATCTTTATGTGGGACTCAGGACTCCGCAGTGAAACAATCTGGACCCAAAGCCTTCAAGCCTGCGTGCTATAAGCCACTTCATTATAGGACTAATCTGGAACCAAGCTCTGTAATAACTACAGCACAGGCAGAGCAGGCCATCACCCCACCACCTCACCCTAAATAAGGCAGAGGTAAGGCTATAACAAGTGTCAAAACAGTCAAAATCATAAATGCAGCAGGTCTTGTTCAGAAAGAACCTGTAACACAAGCAGTCAGGTCAATAGATTGGTAATCGAGTTCATTAGTTTAAAAAGCTCATTTTTAATTTACTTGGAGGTTGGGCATGTGTGCCACTGATACCTGTGGGCTTTTGTTCTCTCTGTGTCCTGGTGGCCAAACTCAACCCTTGGCTTGACTTGACTTGCTGAGCCCCAACACCTTAAAGTTTAATGAAATGACAAGAAAGAAAAATCTCACACTTCACAAGCCAATTCAGCCCAGAAAATAAGGAAAGGTCTCACCAACTAACTGTCAAAGTTGAGATTCCTTTCCCCTTTGGTCTCTTTTATTTGGGGTGTTGGTGTTGGTGGTGTCGGTGGTGGTGGTGGTGGCGGCAAATTCTTATTATGCAGTCCAGGCTTGCCTCAAACTCCCAAGCCTGCCCCAACCTCCCAAGTACTGGGATTACATGAGCAATCAAGCAATCACATTTGGCTTTCTGAGACATTTGTAGAGGGAGACACAGAGGTCAACCTTCGTCTGCTTTTGTTTCTTGAGAAAAGATCTCTCTCACTGGGATCTGAAGTTCACTGATTAAGCTAGATGGGGTGGCCAGCAAGCCCCAATCAAAGAAAATGCCCTCGCTCATGACAGACAGAATTCTGCCTAGAATTGGCAAGCTTAAATACATGCCAAACTTTACCAACACAGGTAAAGTTTAAGTAGTCCTAAAAAGTTCCTGCTTTACATATGTGTTTATCAAATATACTGGGCCAGAAGTATATTTGCCGATCATATTGCAACTCTTTTAGTTCATCTTTAATGATTTCTGATAGATATTTTGTGAGATGCGGGACTTAATCTGCAGAACATGCAGCGCTTGCCAATTCCTCCCTGAGCACGGCATGAACGCAGTCTTTAACCACAGAAAATGGGCCTCAGGATATAGGTGTTCTCGGGCTCCTCTGCATTCTTTTTGGTCCTGGACTCCAATAAGGACTGGCCATGGGAGGGCACGGCCATATCCGTGCCTTCCTATAGCAGTGCCGAGCCGCCTGCAGCGGCCCGAGTTCCTCTCATAATTATTCTTATTGTATAAAAATGGCCTTTTTACGTGGATAGAAAAGGGGAAATGTTGGGAGTTGTTCTGATGTTTATTTTGATGTTGGTTGCCAGCCCTTGAGATCTGTTCACTGCCTGGATACACCTATCCTTGTTGTATAAACCTGCCTAACACATGGTTGATTAAACAGCTTATACCTGAGCAGGGCAAAATGAGGTAGGCATGGCTAAGGTTCCCAGGCTTTGAGTTCAAGAAATCATGGGAGAGAGATGGACAGGACAAGAGGAGGAAGGAGGATGCCACAATGGGTTGGTGCAGAGAAGGAACCACGTGGGCCGGGAGGGAGGACTCCGATAATGGTGTGAAAAGGCCCAGATGAAGAGCACGAGCAAGTATCTTGGGATTATGGAGGGAAGGTAGCCCAGATAGGAATGATTACGGCAGATGGCATTGGATGGGGGCCTAGGAAATGGATGGTGAGGTTATTGAGACAGCGTAGGTACCAGGTAATAAGGCAATTATAAAATCTAACAGGTGTCTGTGTCTTATTATTTTTGCGAGCGGGTTAGAGGATCCCGCCACACTAATTACAGGCTAATGAACATTATTTAACCCAGCACCATTTTTATATACTGCAACGGCCCAGTGACGTATCTGTCAACGCTCCCCACTCAGCTTTTCCCGCGGGTGCTGGGGATTGAATTCGGGTCCACATGATTGCACAGCCAAGCACGTTACTGACCTGAACCATCTCCCCAACCCCTTTATGAGTCTTAAAAGGTAGAAGGTAGATACAGCCGAAAAGAACACAAAGTATGCCCAATATGTCCTATTTTTCTACCTATCAGATCAACAGAAAAGAATGGAGTTATCAAGTGTTTGTGAAATCAAGCACACCACAGGCATAAGCTTAAGTCAGTAAATTCCTTTGGGAAGACAATTTGGCAGCTTTTGTCAAAACCAAAAATAGCATTCACTTTGAGCCAGCAACTCCACTCCAGGCTGCGATCCAACAGAAACATTTGTACGCGTGCGCAAAAGCAGGATTGCTTTGGTAGCAGACGCAGTCAGCAGGCAAGCAGTTAGGACACTGCCACACCCACAACATGAAATACGACGCGGCCATTAACAATAGAAAGAGGAAAGCCAAGCTCGTCCATCCTGACACAACTGCAGCGAGCCGAACGCCCATGAGAGGGAGACATCACTGCAACAGAAGCAGCCAGCTTCACAATCGCGGGCGGACCTTGGGGCACGGCAGAAGGATGACCAGCACTTCCACACTGACGCAACGCTGTGCCATGGCATTCGGAACACGGGCAGTCATGCTGGGCTCTCACAGTGAGGGCTTCACAAGGAGGCAAAGGCACCACTGTGTCCCACAGCTGAGTGTGTGGCAGCCCCTCCCCTAAGGAGCTTTAGGGAGGAACTGACTTGCAAGCAGCCACGGACACGACCAGTGCAGAAAGAGACCAAGCAACGCGAGAAGATACCTGTACACCACACACCGGAGACAGTGCTCAGGTCTAACACACCAAGACCCAACTTACTGCAAGGACACAAACCGATTTAAAGTTGAGCAAAGGACACGAAAACATGCTGTAACGGGGCCTCGCGCAGCCCAGAATGGCCTAGAACTCTTTCTGCTTCTTCATCCCCAAAGCTGGGATGCCAGGCTATTTTGTATAAAACATACAGGTCAACAGGTAAAAAAAAAAGAAAAAAGAAAAAAAAAAGAAAAGAAAAGAAAAAAAGTTTAATGTCACTAATTATTAATTATTAAGGAAATGCAAACTTGAACCTATGTGACCTTATGCCATGTCTGAGAACAGTCATCACAAAAAAGATGAAAAGTAAGAGCTATCAAGGATGTAGCAAACAGCCTTGATGCTGCCGGTGGGAATGGAGGCTCAGCCAAAGGAAAGCAATATGGATGTCCTTAAAAATTAATGCCGGAAGTATCCCCTGACCCAGCACTTACCACT